TGTCACGGCCAAATTGGGAGTGAACCAGCAGATGGAAGACCTCTAGCTCTGCCTCTCCTTCTCTCTCTGTGTAACTCTGATTTTCAAATAAATAAATAAATAAGTCTTTTAAAAAGAATAAAAGTTACATAAACTTCTTTCTTATATGTGGGAGCTAAAATTTAAAAAAGCTACAAAAGAGAGAAATGCCCATGTATATCGATTTTGCTTAAAACAGAGTTTTGTCAAACTTTGTTTTAAATCTTTATCAAGGAAATTGATAGAAGCTGTATACTACTATAGTTTTTATGATATTGTGATTATTTTAAAATGACTTTTTATGAGTGAGGTTGAATATCTTCTCATGCAATTATTGTTTATAGGCGTTGCTTGTTTTCCTGCTGGACTACAGTCTTTTTACTTGTATTTGTTGAAGAGTTTAATTAGTAGAACCATTAAGCTTTTGACTATAAGGTAAATTAAAAGTATGTTATCTCAAAAAAGATAGATAAAATATCATGTTAAAAAAGTTACATAAGTTATTTAAGAATTACTTTGGAAGAATATGTCAGTGAAAGTACTGTGTAGGGTAAACAGCCGATGTTTCTTGGAGATTATATTTTGTATGGATCGGATACATGAATTCAACCAAAAAAGGATTAACAAACTAACATCATCAATGAAATCCCATAATGTCTTGCTGGTTCGCAACGGAAATGAACTGAATTGGTTTCATAGAAGATGTGATTTCATTCTCTCCTATTTAAAAAGAAACTTCTGGCTCATGATTTATTTGGATTAAAGGTTTTCTTGGCTTCCTCATCATGTACATTTTCCAAGTCTTTTCTTATAATACTCTGATAGCATCTATGGGTCTTTGATGATACTTTTGCCTGATCAACCCATTTGGAGAAAAACTATCTGAAAATCTTTCTCCAGGTAGTATGCACATTTTGTAAATAATCTAAATAAATGACAATAGAATATTTTTCATTAGTAGGTATAGATCAGCTAGATTATCCTAGAAAAACGGTATCTGCTTGCTAAATTTGTGGCTTTAGTCGTTTTTAAAAATAAAATATTTTTTTTTCAAGGCAAGGAATAAACAGTCCTTGTTCTCTGAAACACATTCTGTGACACTGTTCTAAACTCTAGTCCTTAAAAGGATCTTAATAGTTTTACTTAACTGAATTTGATTATAACTTAATTAAACTTACTTATCCATGAAATTGATTTGCTGGAATTGTGATTTCCTTCTGGTTCTGTCTCTTTTAATTTGGTTATAGTCTTCTGCCCTAGACTTCTTCTTAAAGTATTTTTAATGTCTTTTCTGGTTTTATCTTTCACAAGGGCTATATTGAGATACAATTTAAAGGGGCTGGCACTGTGGCACAGTGGGTTAATGCCCTGGCCTGAAGCGCCAGCATCCCATGTGGGCGCCGGTTCTAGTCCTGGCTGCTCCTCTTCCAATCTAGCTCTCTGCTATGGCCTGGGATAGCAGTGGAAGATGGCTCAAATCCTTGGGCCCCTGCACTCATGTGGGGGACCCAGAAGAAGCTCCTGGCTCCTGGCTTCGGATCTGCGCAGTTCTGGCCCTTGCGGCCATCTGTGGAGTGAACCAACGGATGGAAGACCTCTCTTGCCCTCTCTCTCTCTCTCTCCTCTCTCTGTGTAACTCTCTTAAGTAAAAAATAAATAAATCTTAAAAAAAAGATACAGTTTAAATATCATAAAATTTACTCCTAAAAAGTATAAAATTTAGTGGCTTTTAATGCATTTATGGAGTTGTGCAAGCATCCTCACTACCTAGTTTTAGAATATTTTTATAATCCCAAATAGAAACTGCATACCCATTAGTCATTCCCTATTTTCCCCTTACTGACCCCTGGAAACCACTAACCTATTTTTTGCTTCTGTGGATTTGCCTATTCTGGACATTCCATATCAATGGAATCATGTAATATGTGGTCTCTTATGACTGCCTTATTTTTACTTACTATGATCTTCCCAGAATTCATCCCTGTTGCACCTTGGATCTATATTTCATTCTTTTTTATTGCTGAGTAATATTCCATCGTTGAGTTGTAACACATTTTATTTATCTGTTTATCAGTTGATAGACATTTGAGTTATTTCCTCTTATTAGTTATTATGAATAATGTTAGTATGAACATTAATGTACAAGTGTTTGTGTGGACATTTTTAAAATTTTCTTAGATGTATAACTACAAATAGTCTCAGTTTTATATTTAAAAAAATTAAAAATGCTTTTCACCTTTAGTTGAGAGGCAGAGAGACAAAGAGAAAGATACACACAATACACAGACACACACAGAGGAGAAGAGAAAGAGAGAAGGGGGGAAGAGAAAGAGAGAGAGAAAAGGAGAGAGCTCCTATCCCCTGGTTTATTCTCCAAATGCCTTCAATAGCTAGGGTTTGGCTGGGAGCAGAGCCAGGAGTCAGAAATACAATCTAGGTCTCCCATGTAGGTGGCAGGAACCCCCTAACTTGGGCCATTACTATTGCCTTTCAGGGTCTGTGTTAGCAGGAAAATAGAGTTAGAAGTTGCAGTTGGGAGTTGGACCCAGGTATTCCACTGTGGGCATCTTAACTGCAAGGCTAGCCCCCAGACCCCAGCTATCACCAAACCTTCATTTATTTGATTCTGAGATCAAATATTTTTATATTCTTATTCACATTTGTAATTCTTTTATGAATCAACTATTGATTTAATTGTGGCATTTGTCTTTTCTTTATTTCTTTTTAAATATATTTTACTTCTTTGAAAAGTAGAGAGAGAAAAAGAGATCTTCTAATAGCTAGCCAGGCCAAAGCCAGGAGTCAGGAACTCAATCTAGACCTCCACTGTGGGTGGCAGGAACCCAAGTACCTGAGCCATTATCTGCTGATTCCCAGGATGCATAAATAGCCGGATACTGTACCCGAAACAGAGTAGCTGCATTGTAACCAGGCACTCCTATATGGGATGTAACCAAGCAGCATCCTAACTACTGCACCAAATGCCTGCTCCTCTTTTATTGATTTCTATGACCTCTTTATATAGTCACACATTAATATTAGATTGTTGAAGTCTCATCACTTTTTAAAAACCTTAAAATTGATTTTTAATAGTTATTTTGATTTTAAACATAGAAAAGTCGTGTACATATATATATTTTAAAGATTTATTTGGACCAGCATTTTGGTGCAGCAGGTTAAGCCACCACCTGTAAGACTGGATCCCACGTCAGGGTGCTGGTTCAAGCCTCCACTGCTCTGCTTCTGACTCAACTCTCCACTAATGTGCCTGGGAAGGCAGCACATGATGGCCCAGGTTCTTGGGCCCCTGGATCCACCCCAGAGACCCTGATGGAGTTCCCGGCTCCTGATTTCAGCTTGGCCCACCCCTGACTGTTGCTAGGTCAGGCCAAAGCCTGGAGCCAGGAACTCCATCTGAGTCTCTCACATGGGTGGCAGAGGACCAAGTATTTGAGCCATCATCTGCTGCCTCCCAGGCTTATTAGCAGAGACCTGTATTTAAGAGGAGCTCCTGGGACTTGAACAGGCACCCTGATATAGGAGGTGGGCATCCCAAGTGGTGGCTTAACCTGCTGTGTTGCAACATCACCTCTTGCGTATCTTTTTAAAGATTCATCTTTAGTCCTTAACATTCTGTTATTATTATAGGTAGTATATTTTCTTTCTTTCTTTCTTTTTTTTTGACAGGCAGAGTGGACAGTGAGAGAGAGAGAGAGAGAAGTCTTCCTTTTTCTGTTGGTTCACCCTCCAATGACTGCTTGCGCACCACACTGAGCTGAAGCCAGAAGCCAGGTGCTTCTCCTGGTCTCCCATGCAGGTGCAGGGTCCAAGGACTTGGGCCATCCTCCACTGCCTTCCCGGGCCACAGCAGAGAGCTGGACTGGAAGAGGAGCAACCTGGACAGAATCCAGTGCCCCAACTGGGACTAGAACCCAGGGTGCCCGCGCCATAGGTGGAGGATTAGCCTATTGAGCTACGGCGGTGGCCAGTATATTTTCTTTTAAAAAGTTAGATTTTTTTTTGTTTCTTGTTCGTGTGCTGTCATTTATTTCAGAATTGTCCTACATTGAGGCAAAGAGTCCAGGTCTTTATATGCTACAACAGCCAAGGTGCTCCCCCAGTTTTTTTTTTTTTTTTTTTAACAAGTTACAAAAACTTTTTTATTCTCACTTTGAAAATTTAATGTTGTTGCTTTGGTCAAAGAAAGGGAGTTGCTCAGGTGTGTGGGGTTTGGATCTGGGGTGTATTTCTGCACAGACTTTGACTTTACCCCCAGTTTTCAGGACTACCTGTTGTCTTTCAAATTGAGCCTTTCTGTAGCTCTGCAGGACAGGCGAGCTGGTTTTAGGTTTCTCCCACTGCCACCCCGTGGTTTCCCTTATCTACATCAATTATCAGTTGATCACCTGCTTTCTAATCTTCAAAGTCTGGTGCTGTCTCCCTCTTGCCTTTTAATTCTTATCAAGTAAGTGGAGTTTCAGGAAGGAATAGAGGTAAAAATGCTTCCAATTGCTTTCTTTGCCTGGAAGCTCTCCTCAGTACTCTTTGATTTGGAGATTTATGAAGTAAGGGTAAAGCAGGCTGAGTTTGACAACTATTTCTAAAGTATGAAATTACTCCTTTCTTTTTCATCTTGGCTCGTCTGGCCCATTCTTCAGATCTCAGTTTAGTAGTCACATTTTCCAAGAACGCTGCCTTCACAGCCCAAATCTGGATTAGATTCCCATTCTACATAATTTTATTATAATCTGTGTTTACTCCTGTTGGAATGTTTAACATATTCGCTATTGACTGCCTGTTTGCCAGCCTTTAAGATCTTGTAGACTATAAATTTCTTGACTAATGAGACTGTATTTGATCTCTACTGAAGTTCCCAGTCCCAAGTACAGAGATGATTTAAGGAGGACTTAATCAAGTTATAGTGGGTAAATACAGAAATAAATCACATTTCTTTAAATTGATTTCCAACAAATATAACTTACAAGAATCTCTTTTCCATAAATGTTTTTTTCCTTTGCTGGACTGTAGAAATAAAAAAGGCAAAATATTAGTTTTATTTCCATGGACATTAGTTTCACAGATGTTAATGCGTTAATTAATGGCATTTAAAAATACTTAGATTTCACATTTAACAGGAGGACTTTGGCATAGTTGATGTTACTTCTTTAATATTTTTGGAAAGTTTACTTTTTGAATTTATACCTTGGATTAGTAAAATCTCTAGACAAAAACATTACATTATTACAACTACTATGTATGCAATAAAATAGAGTAAATATGAAAAACAGAGTACATATTTTAAAGTATATTTTATACATATTGTTAGGTCATGATCCAAATTTCAGGAGCCAGAAGTTATAGAGATAATTCAGGAAACCCTTTAACACTGTATTTTTTTTATATTTAGTTTACCATTCTGTAGAGAAATATTCTACCATCATTTTCATACTTTGTTTTTAAAAGTACCAACCAGTAGAACTAAAGTTAGACTAACGTAAGTTGTTAGAGAGCTTATTTTCACTGACATTCATATATGAATATCAGAGGAAATAAAGCAAATTTATGCTTATTCATTTTTTTAAAGATTTATTTGTTTATTTGAAAGGGAGATCTACAGAGTGGCAGAGGCAAAGAGAGAGAGAGAGGTTTTCCATCCGCTGGTTCTCTCCTCAGATGACCACAATGGCTGGAGCTGAGCTGATCTGAAGTCAGGAACCAGGAACTTTTTCTGGGTCTCCCATGTGGGTGCGGGGGCCCAAGGACTTGGGCCATCTTCTGCTGCTTTCCCAGGCCGCAGCAGAGAGCTGGATCGGAAGTGGAACAGCTGGGATTTGGTGCCCATATGGGATGCTGCCCACTATGCCACAGTGCCTGGCCGGCTTACTCATATTTTGATTCTGGAGTTATAGGTGTCCCTTTCAGCAATATTTGTGGGTAAGGAACACCCTGGAAATTTTTTTTAAAAATTGCATTGAAATGGTCATATTTTTTGTTTAAGATTTATTTGAAAAGCATAGGCCCAGAAGGAGGAACAGGGTAGTGGGGAGAGAAAGAGAGAGAGAGAGAATATGAATCTTCCATTCACTGGTTCACTAACCAAATGGCTACAACAGCCAGCGTTGGGCCACAGGAACCAGGAACTCCATCTTGGTCTCCCATGTGGGTGAAAGGGGTTCAAGCACTTGGGCTTGTCTTCTGCTGCTTTCCCCAGCACATTAGTAGGAAGCTAGATCAGAAGTGGAGTGGCCAGGACTCAAAACAACAGTCTGATAGGGGCCACCAGTCTTGCAAGTGGCGTTGGCTTGATCTGCTGCACCACAACACTGGCCCCAGGAAGATGCTTTTGTGGCAGGCAAACTGCTCTTTCAGTACAGAAAATTTGTTATTGGGTCTGTAATCCAGCTTCATATGAAATCTGTAAAAGCATACTTTACAGGTATTTTTTCTTCTCTAGAATATGCTTTTATCAAAGGAGATAATCTTTTAACTATGAGGAATAAATGTAAACAAGGATTTTTAGAAGAGAATTACAATAATAAGGGAAATGAGTATATGTGTTAGCAAAGTTAACATATTTTGTACATATAATTATTAGTAGTAGTGTGCAGGAAATTTTATTTGTATCATTATTTGTATTATTAAACTTAACCAATTTACTATTTGAAAAAAAGTTGGGTCATAGATATTTTCAGAAGGAATTAAATCATGAACTGTAGTATATGTGACATATAACAACATATTAAAATAAAAAAAAGCATTATCAAACTATTGACTGTCAAGTGGGTAGTAAACTACTACTGATTCAATTGCCTTTTATCAGTATTGTTTCTAAAATAAAATTTGGACAGGCAGTTAGCCTAGTGGTCAAAATGCAGGTAAAGAGCCTGTGCCCTATGTCGGATTACCTGGGTTTTATATTTGGCTTTGGTTTCTGACATTAGTTTCCTACTTAAGTAGACCCTGTGAGGCACTGATGATGGTTCTAGCAATTGGGTTTCTGCAACCCATGGGGGAGACATGGATTGAGTTCCTGTTATTAGGTCTGGCCCCAACTCTGGCCCATCCCCAGCTGTCCCAGAGGATGGGAGCATTCTCTGTTTCTCTGCCTCTCAAATGAATAACTAATTAAAAATAATACAACAGAATGGAAAATATGAGTATATCACATAGGTAAGTTTGTTATTAAAGAGAGTAAAAGCTGAGTTTGGGACTTCCGCCTTTGGCCTGGTACAGTCTTGGCTCTTGTGGCCATTTGGGAAGTGAACCAGTGAATGGAAGATCTCTGTCTGCCTTCCAAGTAAAGAAAAATAAATTTTTGAAAAAGCTGCAGGCATCCACTGTGATAGAAACATATATTGTCTTATAACCACTAGAGGGCAATATATTACATAGTTTTCAAAGCTGAGACAACTGCTTGATAGAGGTGACCTAGTTATACAACAGACTGGTAGACATAAAAACATACTTGAAAAAATTGTTGGACTGTTAGTTACTGTTATTTGAGGACTACTCCATGGTACACACTGAGTTAGGGATGCACTGATAAGACATATGCTATTATTAAAACAAATGTGCTAAAACAAGGCAACTATCGGTGTCCACTTGGCTAATGTTTGTCTTTCCAGTCTCATATCCTGCCCCTCCCCAACTTGCAGTCTGAACGGCAGCCACATTGACCTACTTGTAACTGCCTGCACATGCTGTTCTCTTTCTGGAATATTGTTTCCGTCTCTGTCTGTCTGGTGAACCCCAACTTGCATACCTCAAGCCCCAACATCCTGGTTTTCTCTGCCAGAGTTAAGTCCAAGTATGTACTTTCTCTCCTTCACTTTTTTGGGCCAAGTTCATCCTTGTCATAGTTGATTATTTTTGTCTTTTTTCCCCAACAAATGGACTATACTAGAGCTCAGGGTATGTGTTACTCATTTTTGTTTCTCTAGCTATGGTACAGTGTCTGGCACATAGGCAGTGCTTAAAATACCTACCTAGTAAGTGAGCAAATAAGAGTGCTATGAACAGATGCTGTAATGAGGTAATTTCCTATGCAGTCTGTTGAGCAGTCTACCCTCTCATTTTGTTTATAGCACTATAAATCAGCTATCTAACTGCCATAGCAAGCAGAAGACAGTTTTGACTTGCTGATAGTGAAGGAAAGTTAGACTTCACTAAATATAAGGGAAATGGTATTCTGGAGGATAATTTAGGTGCCCAAATATTCCTCTCATGTCACCCTGGAGGATGATAGTCACCTTAAAGTACAACATCTAACACTAAATAACCTTTGTTTTTCCATCCTATCCTTACTTTGCATTATTTACTCAGCCAACTAGGTAAAGTGGTTTTGTCTACTACATTTCCATAAGGTAATGACCCTGACACATTTGGTATTTAGAAGACAGGGTATCTACTACCTTAAAGTGTGGTTTACAAAAGTGTAAAGGATTTAGAGTCAAGTTTCAACATGTCCTAAGTACTCAGATAGCAAATAAAACAATTTTCCATCCAAGTGGTTATATATCTGCTATGAAAGTTTTCGTTATATATATTCCTTTAGGTATGTTCACAAAAAATTTATTTAAAAATATTTTTACCTTCTTCTAAACCTTGTATTTCCAAACTCATAATTATCTAGAAAATTCTACAGTGTAGAGACCTAAGTACATTATAAGGGTCAAGTCAGCTTTAGAGTCAGATAGACTTTGATTTTTTTTCCTGGATTTGTATTTTCTTAGCTTTATGATCTTGGGCACAGTACTCAACCTTGCTACATCTTTGTTCCCTCATTTGAAATATGGACACAACAATACTACTTACCTCATTGGGTTGCTAGGCCGATTAGATGAAATTCTGCATATAAACAATTTTTCACAAGACATGGCAAATTGTAAACTTTCAATAAATATTAGCTGCTATTACAGGATAAAGGTCTTTACTGCAAGACATAAGCATTTTTTCCTTGGCATATATCTATATCTATATCTATATCTATATCTATATCTATATCTATATCTATATCTATATCTATATCTATATCAAATAACCTGAACTTAATGTTTTTCCCCTTTACTGTGGCAGTTACAGAAGAGTATTTTTGTCATATTGATAAAACACATGATAGAAATAAAAGGGGGCTGGTGACAATGAGAATCTATTAGTGAAGCCTCTCCTGGCATGGGTCAGAGTGCTGTGGACAAGTGAGGACAAAAATGGACCTCAAAAAGTCTTTCACAGTGTTTCCCCATCCAGAGAGCTTTTACCTTTGCAGCTTCCCCAGATGCAGTGGGAGATACTGCTGTGCTATCAAGCACCTTGAGGTTCTTTCCTATTTTAGCAAGAGTGAGATTTTCTTCTGTAGTGTCATTATATTAGTGTCATTATATTGAGCTTGGAATGCAGTTTTGAAATAGACTGTTTAAAGTACTGATTCCTGTGGGAAGGATATTGCTTTGTATAATCCACAAAGTATATATGTGTGTGTGTGTGTGTGTGTGTGTGTATATATATACACATTCTTAATGCTTTAAAAAGAATGTATGTTTCAATATTTTATATAATTATAGTGACATTTCTTCTGAACCAAAAATTGGGACATATGGTGCAACAAGATTTTAAATATTTTGAGAAATTTTTACTTTTTGTTTTGAAATAATTTTAGTCTTACAGAATTATCATAATGATACAGAGAGGTCCTATATATCCATTACCTAGCCTGGATTCTGGCGGTAGGCTTGGGTCTGCTTTTGTTCATTAGGGCCCACAGTTAGGAAGATGTGGTAGAGTGGGGAAGAGTAAGAACAAGCCAGGAGCTGCTTGGCACCTCTTTGCCATCACTGGGACTGACCACAAGGGACTTCTGAGGATAATGGCTTCTGCTCACTTTCACAGTCTTAACTGTATTGTGGAAATGTAGATCCCAGACTAAGCAAAGATGGCTATTTTATACTCATGGAGTATTCTCAGAATATAATAAAGCTTTTGGCACATATGCAGTATTTAACATTTTATAAAAAGATTTATTTATTTATTTGAAAGGCAGAGTAAAAAAGATAGAGAGGGAGAAACAGAATGAGAAAGAGATCTTCCATCCATTGGTTCATTCCTCAAAATGGCTGCAACAGCTGGGGCTGGGCCAGGCTGAAACCAGGAGTCTAGAACTCCATACAGGTCTCCCATGTGGGTGGCAGTAGCCCAAGCACTTGGGCCATCCTCTGCTGCTTTCCCAGGTGCTAGTAGGGAGCTGGATCAGGCAGAACAACGGGGACTCAAACTGGCCTTGGGACACTGACCTTGCAAGTGGTGGCTTAACCTGAGCACTGTGATGCTGGCCCTGACAGTATTTATTATTTAATAAGTGAAAGAAGGAATGACACGGACATTTATACACTGAAAATGAGAAGCACAACAAATTTGTTCCTGAGGTATGAAAGTATTTCATAAATCTAATAAACTTGACTAGAACTAATAGTTAATTGTTTATGTAGTAGTGCTATTTTATTGATAGACTGGTACCTAAGAGAAATCCAGAAAAAGAATGTCCAAAGGAGAAGAATTTGTCAATGTATTTCCAGTATGATAAGTGGGAGATGGTACCTGGACTGACAGTGCCATTGGCATTTCTCTTGAGGGCAGACTAGATTTTTGATCCTCTTACCTGTGAACTACTGGATTTAGAAAGGTGAGTGACCAAAAAGGGTAGTTCTCATAGATGCTTCTAGAACAGTGTTCTCCAACCTTGCATGAGAATTAGAATTCTTTGGCAAATGTCCCAAATGTCTGAGTTGTACCCAGGAATGACCCAGACATCTTAATTTTTCAAAGCTCCCATGTGATCCCAGCATGCAGCAAATCTTTGTTCTAACCTAGACCCTTGTTTTTCGAAGTGTGGACCATGGGCCAGAAGTATTGGTATTACCTGCATCCCACCCTAGACCTACTGAACTGGAAAAATCTATCTACCAAGATCCTTAGGTGATATGTAAGTACACTAAAATTTGTGAGGTGCTATCCTAGACCATTTTTCATCTCTTTTAAAAGCTCCATCCCTTTTGAAATACATGCCATGAGAATATTCCAACTCCTAACAATTTCTAACTACTCTAGTTAATTATCAGACTTCATCCAAGAAACTCCCCATAATAAACTATTTTAGCAACTGGCTTATTTTATTGTCACTAATATACTTACTATCATTTTCAGTGATTTCAACATCCATATAAACAATCCACTCACTATCTCAATGACTCAGTTTTTGGCCTCAATTATCTTATTCTCCTTTGGCTTTTCCCCTTGCCTGCCTTGTATCTCTTGTAGCTTCATTCCTTTGCCTCAGATGACTTTTGGGAAACCTAGGTTGAGACACTTGGTAAAAACTCAACCTTGGTCAAATCCAATCACTATTCTAGATGAATTGACAATAAATAGGCAAAGCACAACTCGTTAAAATTATAACCAAATGCCTCAAGTTTCTCCAAGAGGGTACTTCAAAAAATTCATAGAAAAATGGAATTGAAAGATAGTATGAAATTTCTAAAACTTTTGAGATACCCTTTTATTACAATTCATTCTTCAGCTCTGTGAGATAAATATTTCACATCTTCTCTCCAATTTCTAAGCTCTTCATCCCTCTCTTTACTCAGTTGAAGACTTTGCTTATTATTTAACAGAAAATAAAGTCTACTACTGCTACATTTCCACATTTACTTGATTCTGTATTTCTATTTATCTCTTCCCTTCACAGTGCTCCTATGTAAGGCGAACCTCTCCCCTTGCACTGAAGCCTAATTCACATTATGGACCCAAAGACTTTGCTTCTATGAATATGATTTTATCTTTTGAATTATTCTTAACTGCATAAAAATATACTATGTGTTATACAGGGTCCAATCCAAGTTTTTGATGTTTAATGGATGACAACTTTCAAGGCTCATTCCTCCTTTATTCCCTCTGCCCCATATGTGGGCCTGCTGATGAGAAATCCCATGTAGGGTTGGCCCTGTGGCATAGCAGGTAAAGCTGCTGCCTGCAGTGCCGGCATCGCATATGGACACTGGTTCGAGTCCCGGCTGCTCCACATCCAATCCAGCTCTCTGCTATGGCCTGGGAAAACATTAGAAGATGGCGCAAGTGCTTGGGCCCCTGCACCTGTGTGGGAGACTGGGAATAAGCTCCTGGCTCCTGGCTTCTGACAGGTGCAGCTCCAGCCATTGCGGCCAATTGGGGAGTGAACCAGCAGAATGGAAGATCTCTCCCTCTCTCCCTCTCCTTCTCTCTCTGTGTAATTCTTTCAAATAAATAAATAAATAAATCTTTTAAAAAAAACTTATGTGCTTTTTCTTATGGTTTTAGTTGGAGATTTAAACCTGTAGATTCAATTCTCAGTTTGTAGATGGGAACCCTTAGATGGATGCTACCCTCTAATTGCAATAAAACCCCAAACCAGTCTCCTTTCCTTATTCTTTTTCAAGCCATTTCTGAAGTTCTAGGGAGGCCTGATCTGTGGTCCTGGAGGCCTCAATTACATAATAATAAAACTTCATATCCTCTTGGTCTAGTGTGTGGTATCATCAGTCTACATTTGAACTAAATTTTGGGTGAGGAATTCATCTGCTTCTGAAGGTAAGTATAGCTTTATACTTTATACTATACTTTATAGTATTTCCAACCTTAAAAAACGTGTTAGCTTGGGTCCAAATTCAGTTGTTTCAACAGAGATTAAAAATATCAGTGGCTTAAACCAAAGTCAATTTTTTGTTTACATAAAAGTTCTTAGCAGGTAGAGTGAGTCTGTTTTAAGTCATCGAGGGCCTGGCTTTCTTCTAGCTTGCTTCCCCATCAACCCTGGATATGAGACATGTCTGGGTAACACCATGATATACCTTAAGTCTACATTCTAGAAGAATGAAGAAGGAAGGAGTAGAAGGGGAAACGGAAAGCTTTCCCCCTTTCCTTAAGGGAATGGTTCTAAATATGACCATTTTTAGCTGCAAGAAAGACTGGGTAACATTGTTTTCACTTGTGAAAAAAAATACCTCACTGTTTTGTGATTAGGTGCCCATAAAGCAGATTTTATTACTAAGGAAAAAGGGGGAGACTGAATACTAGAGGACAACTAGTAGTCTGTGTCACTCAAGTCTTCCTTGGACTCTATATACCTGTAGTAGACAAAATAAGGCCCTCCCCTGTCCCATTCTACCCCAATTCCCCCAAGTGTCCACTTCCTAATCCCAGAACCTGTGACTAGGTTAGGTTACATGCAAAGGTGAATTAAATTTGTCAATAAGATTAAGTTTGCTAGTCAACTGCCCCTAGGCTAGATACACAGGAGTATCCAGAGAGACCCAGTGTAATCATAAGGGTCCTCAAAAGTGGAAAAGAGAGGCAGAAAATGTAGTGAAAGACTTGGACCTATTATTGCTGGCTTGGAAGGCAAGGAATGGAAATTTGAGCCATGGAACACAGGTGACCTCTAGAAATTAGAAAAGGCTAAGAGGAGCCAGTACTGTGGTTTAGCAGGTAAAAGATGCTGCCTACAGTGTGGGCATCCCTGGGTGCCAGTTCAAGTCCTGGCTGCTCCACTTCTAATCCAGTTCTCTGCTATGGCCTGGGAAAGCAGTAGAGGATGGTCCAAGTCATTGGGCCCCAGCACCCACGTGGGAGACCTGGAAGAAACTCCAGGCTCCTGGCTTTGGCTAGGCCCAGCTCCAGCTGTTGTGGTCATTTGGAGAATGAACCAGTGGATTGAAGACCTCTCTCTGTCTCTGTCTCTGACTCTGTAACTCTGCCTTTCAAATAAATAAATAAATCTTAAAAAAAGGGCTAAGAAACAGATTCTCTCTTAGAGCTTCCAGAAAAGAGCATAGCCCCACTTATACTTTGATTTTTTGTAGCAAGGCTAGTGTCATATTTGTAGAACCGTAAGATGAAATTTGTGTATTTTTATAAAAGCAATTCAGTTTGTGGTTGTTTGTTATAGCAGCAATAGGAAACTAACACAGATTTTGTACTGGAAATGGGGTACTGCTGTAATACATACCTAAGAATGTGCAAGTGGCTTTAACATTGGGCAGTGGGCAAAGGCTGGAAGAATTGAGGAATTGCCAAGAAAAATCTACATTGAACAGACTTAGTAGAAATATGAATGTTAATTACTCTGCAGTGAATAAAGAGGAGTAAAGAGCCTGGTAAAGCAAAGATGTATCATTTTGGAGAAGGCTTAAGTCATCAGGAACAGGTTGTTGGTAGAAATATGGATTTTAAAGTTAGTGCCAGTATTCAGAAGAAAATGAGGAACATGTTAATGGAAACTTAAAGGGGATCCTTGTTATAAAGTGGCAGAAAACAGTGGAATTGTGTTATGTAGTTACACGGAAAGTAGAAAAAAAATGATGAAATTGGATATTTAGTCTGGGATATGCAAGATGTTGAATGGTACTGCTTGCTTTCTTCTTGCTGCCTATAGTAAAATGCTCATCCATATCTCATTTAGATTTAGATTTAGAGTTTCTGATCTGTTTGTATTTACATGAGATTTTTGAATTTGGGTTGATGATCTAATAGGACGAGACCTTTGGGAACCTTTGAAGAGGGTGAGTGTATTTTGCATGTGGGATAGATGTGCATTTGAGGGACTAAGAGGATAAATTATGGCTTTTGTGGACAGAATAATGGCCCTCCAAAAATGTGCAAGTGTTAATCTCCACAACATGTAAATATGTTGTTAGTGTTTCAGTTTCTTTTCTGAAAATTTTTGTTTGCATTTTATTTGAAAGGGAGAGAGAGAGAGAGAGAGAGAGATTGATTGATTGATTCCATCCACTGGTCTATGACAGCCAGAAATACGCCAGGCTAAAGTCAGGAGCCCAGAACTCAATTAGGGTCTCCCATGTGGATAGCAGGGACTGAAATACTTGAGTCATCACTGCTGCCTCCCAGGGTATGCATCAGCAGGAAGCTGGAATTGGAAGCAGAGCTGGGACTCAAACCCAGGCACTCTGACATGGGGTGTGGGCATCATATGTAGCATCCAACCATTGTGTCAAATTCCTGCCCAGTGTATTAGCTTCTTATTGATGCTATAACAAATTACCAAAAATTTGGTGGCAAAAACAACACAAATTTATTATCTTACAGTTTTGAAGGTGATAGCCAGAAATGGGTTTCACTGGGCTAAAATCAAGGTATTGGTAGCTGTCTTACTTCTGTAAGTTCTAGGGGACAATCTGTTTCCTTGCCTTTTCTCGTTCTACAGGCCACACATATTTCTTGGTTTCCTTCCTCTACCTTCAACGCCAGTAGTGTGGCATCTCCAACTCTCTGACCCTGAAAATGACTCTGTTGCATTTTTCTTTCACCTATAGGGACACTTATGTTTATACTGGGCTCATTTGGATAACTCAGGAAAACATCTGCATCTCAAGATCTTTAACTTAGTTGTATCTGCAAAGTTCATTTTGCTATGTATGACAACATATTTACAAGTTTCAGGAAGGAGGATGTGGACAATTGGAGTGATCATTATTCTATTTTAATTTTGTCTGACTTTTACTCTTATTACTATGTTACCAGTAATTTCCTATGGTAATCTCTTTTCTGTTGTCTCTTGAATCCCTTACAAACAGGTTTTTTTGCCCAATATCTCACTGAAACTTTTTTTCTACAGTCAAATCCACTAGAAAGTTCTCAGTCAACATCTAACTGACTCAGTTACAATTTCATGCTTTGCTCTTCAGAATTCTACATCACATCCAATTTCATGGCTATAAATATCATCTATATACCAACATTCCCCAAATTATATGTTTAGCTACCACCTCATCCCTGAATTCCAGACTTGTTTCTCTAACTGCCTATTCAATATCACCATGTATATAGCTAAAAACAAATCAAAAGAATTGATTTTCTTTCTTTTCTTTTCTTTTCTTCTTTTCTTTTCTTTTCTTTCTCTCTTTCTCTCTTTCTTTCTTTTTTTGACAGGCAGAGTTAGAGAGTGAGAGAGAGAGAGAGATACAGAGAGAAAGGTCTTCCTTTCCATTGGTTCACCCCCAAATGGCCCCTACGGCTGGCGCGCTGCAGCCGGCGCGCTGCGCTGATCCAAGGCCAGAAGCCAGGTGCTTCTCCTGGTCTCCCATGTGGCTGCAGGGCCCAAGCACTTGGGCCACCCTCCACTGCCCTCCCAGGCCACAGTAGAGAGCTGGACTGGAAGAGAAGCAACCAGGACAGAACCGGCACCCCAACCGGGACTAGAAGCTGGGGTACTGGCGCTACAGGCAGAGGATTAGCTTAGTGAGCCGTGGCGCTGGCAAGAATTGATTTTTAATACCCACTTGCTTCTCTCCTTGTATATTCCATCTCAGAAAGTGGTTTTATCATTTACACAATTACCCAAGCCAGAAAATCTTTTTGGAATCATCCTTGATTCCTCCTCCTTTATATATTTAACATCTTATCCATCAAAAAGGAAGGATTTCAAACATATTCTGTATCTGTCCACTTCTTATTACCACTACCATTATTAACCTGGTTCAAACAATGACTTCTAACTTAGATGATTACAAAAGCTTTTTAATGAGTTCCCAACCTTAAATACAAGCCACCTCCTCCCTCCCCGTTAGGTACATTCTTTGGGCACCACAGTATCCCTTTTAAAAGAATTGAGTATGCTGCTGTACTGGATCCTTCACACTTATTCCCTCTAAGTAGAATGCTATTCTCCCACTACCACAAAAGTTAACTCTTACCTCACTCAGATCTCTGTGCAAATATCACTTCTCAGGCCGGTGCCGCGGCTCACTAGACTAATCCTCCGCCTGTGGCGCTGGTACCCTGGCTTCTAGTCCTGGTTGGGGCACCGGATTCTGTCCTGGTTGCTCCTCTTCCAGTCCAGCTCTCTGCTGTGGCCTGGGAGTGCAGTGGAGGATGGCCCAAGTCCTTGGGCCCTGCACCCACATGGGAGACCAGGAGAAGCACCTGGCTCCTGGCCTCGGATCGGGACAGCACGCCGGCCGTAGCGGCCATTTGGGGGGTGAACCAATGGAAGGAAGACCTTTCTTTCTCTCTCTCTCTCTCTCTAACTTTGCCTGTCAAAAATAAAATAAAAAAGTTAAAAAAAATCACCGCTCAGAGACTTTCTCTGGTGCTTCATCTCTCCATCTAAAATAGTGCTCCTATCACACTCTACCCTCCTGCCATGTTCCAGTTTTCACTTAGTACACTTATAACCACCTGGCAGTATGTTTTAAATATATATTTAAAGCTATATTCCTGGGGGGCTGGCACTGTGGTGTAGCCAGTAAAGCCGCTGCCTGTGATGCCAGTACTCTATGTGAACATCGGTTCGAGTCCTGGCTGTTCCACTTCGGATCCAGCTCCCTGCTAATGTACCTGGGAAAGCAGTGGAAGTTGGCCCAAGTGTCCCATACACCCACATGGGAGACCCAGAAGCCCCTGGCTCTTGCTTTTAGTCTGTCCCAGCCCTGGCAGTTATAGCCATTTGGGGAGTTAACCAGTGCATGGAGGATTTCTCTGTCTTTCCCTTTCTCTCTGTAACTCTGCCTTTCAAATAAATTTAAAAAATTGAAAAAACTGTATTCCCACTAAAATATGAGCTCCATGATGGCAAATGATTTATCTCCTATCTACTAACACATAGGGTGGTACCTAGAATATAGCAAGGGTTTGATAAATTAAATAGCTGAATATTTTTTCCTTTATTCATTATTTTTTATTTGCTACCATGTACTCTATTTTAATTCCTAACACATAGAAATATGAATGGCAGTGTGTACCTTCCAGAAGCTTTTGGTCTAGAAGAAGATACACGCACACACATATGTGTGTGTGTGTGTGTGTGTGTGTGTATATATAGTACAAGGTACAAAAGACAAAAGACATAATTTACTTAGAGGAGGTAGTAGAGAGGGTTATTAGGAACAAATAGAAGGTTTGTACCGAATAGGATTTAAAAGAATGAATAAAATTTTACCGGGTAGATGAAAGTATGTACGTGTGGGGAGAATCAGTACAATCTAAGGGTATGGTGCATGTACAGGCTTCTCTTGGGGAAGTACAAGTAATTTGGCATATTGGAAAAACTGGTATGGTGGGAAGTTGGTAAACATGACACTAGATAAACAGGGAGGACTCAGAATATAAAGAACCTTATATGAGGCGTTGAGAAATACAAATTTTCTCCAATAGCTGGAGGGGAAACTCCCAAAACTTTTAAGATTGGATTGATATGGTAGGTTTTTACACTGGCCATTTCATTCACTTTCAAGGGTGGGGAAGGTCCTGCCTGCAGTCCATATTAGATCCTCCAAATCATCTGGTCTGGGCCTGCCAAGGCAACCACAAGTGACACTTGAAATCCAGTAGATCTATAGTAGGCTAATTTTTAAGTTGATAATTTCGTATGGCCTGAAAATGATATAACAAATATCCAAATGGCCTGTGTAAGAAAAAAGAATCCCCACCCCTGCAACATTCCATAGTAAAAAATTCAGCCTGAAAACAGTCCAGATGAATGTCTGAAGTATAAATAGTTGAGGGAAAATAAAAGAATGCATGAGACTCACAATTCTGTGAAAAAAAAAAAAAAAACTGAGATCATACAACTTTTGCCTTTGCTTCTATAATTTAAAAAGCAAGCATCTCACATAAATCTGGGTTCCTAGGTAGACATTCCTATAAGGAAAAGAAATTATGATCAGGCAATTCAAGTAATTCAGCTGGGATTGCAGTTTATTTTTTACTTTTGCTATCAGTCCCCTGTGAGTTTTGCTAGTGAGGTCAGAGTTTAATAGACTAACCACCCCTGGATAAAGTGTTAACATTAATTTTTGAACAAGCAGAGTTGATAACAAGAACCCTTGGTAATATCTCCCAAGCACAGAGATACTGCAAACATCTTGAATAAATAGCTTTACTATTTAGGTAGATTGTTATAATCATTAACTTTTTATATCACTGTAAAAATTAATAGAATTTATTAGGAATTTCAGAAAACAAAGCTTTGCAACTACAGCTAACACATAATTTGATTAACAAAATATCTGCTTTTAAAACAGAATTAATTTATATCCAGGAGCATGCTTGTTGGAAACAATGAAATGTTTCTGTTCATTAAAAATATATTATCAATAAAAACAGAACAACTATCATATAAAAGCAATGCATAAATGTAAACTAGTCAATTTATTCCCATTACCCATATTATGATTTATCTTATGGCTATAGTATTTTAAATCATTAATAAATGCAGAGATATATAACACATATACAGGAAATTCTAAAAAATAATGATTTCATTAAATAATTACTATTATACTGCATCAGAATTTTCTTTGTAATCTGGATCCAACATCAGGAGATGAACTGGCTCTTGGTTGGCTGTTCTGTAACAATTTCAGAATATTATTTTACTATAGTATTTATAGACTTTAATAGATGAATCTGCTTACAGATTATAAACTACAATAAAATTAAACTGATAAATTACACTTTTCAAATGCTACATTTACACAAACTTCAACAAAACTGAGTACCATACCACTTTATGTAAGGCATCATACTAAATATAATAATTAACAATTTCCACTCTTTGCTATTGGTAAGATATGCTTAAGAGGTGTTTTCTATTATAGTCTTCTGTGTAAACTGTTAAAATTTATTTTATTTTCTACAGGAAGTACTTGGAACCTATATAACACTCAAGGGGTAGTTTAACAACAGATTTTGGGCTAAAGAAATAAGTTCTTTGGTAATTGTTAAAATTTAAATTTATTTTAATAATTAAGGGTAATTGTTAAAAATAAATTTACTTTGCTTTACAAACAAAATACTTTAAAATTAAAATTATGCTTCTATGATTCATGGTTTTTCATTGGAAATCATAGCCCAGGCGATAGCAGGGTCTGCAGGTTATACTGCGCTGTTTTGTACTGTCTCTGAGAATGCAAGCAGCCAAAGCAGGCAGACTGACATACAGGAAGAACTTAAATTCAGTGAATCCAAAGGAACCAATTGATAACTTCTGCATAAAGAAAATGTCAGGCTGTATGGTTGCCCAAAAGGGGAAACTTCTCTGAATGTTGGGCAGCACAAAGGTTGGGCTGAAAAAACCCTCTTTTTCCACAAGGCTGACATGGGAGTCAAGTCCTGAGGAATAAGTAGAAGAGGGGGCAGATAAAAGAGCAAATCCTGCGAGGTTATGTGAGCTGTGTGAGCCTTAAAAGCATTCAAAGTGTTCCAGAGGGACCTGCCAGTTATTCAACAGTGTGTAAGTGATGAGTCTGGGGAGGAACTGAACACAAGGCTGGAGAGGTCTTTAATGTCCTTCTGTGAGTTTTATTTCTCTCTTTTAGGTGATAGTCACTGAAGACGGGTTTTAAGCAGGAGAGTGATATGTTCATAGCTGTGTTTCACAGAGATTACTCCGGTGACAGTGGTGTAAAAGATCACAGTATGCAAACTGGGAGGCTGATAAAATGGTCGATGAGACATGATAAATTATTATATGAATTATTACTACTTTTTCAGAGTTTTTTTTTTTTGACAGGCAGAGTGGATAGTGAGAGAGAGAGACAGAGAGAAAGGTCTTCCTTTCCCGTTGGTTCACCCTCCAATGGCCGCCACGGCCGGCGCACCACGCTGATCCGATGGCAGGAGCCAGGTGCTTCTCCTGGTCTCCCATGGGATGCAGGGCCCAAGCACTTGGGCCAACCTTCACTGCACTCCAGGGCCACAGCAGAGAGCTGGCCTGGAAGGGGGGCAACCGGGACAGAATCCGGTGCCCCAACCGGGATTAGAACCCAGTGTGCCGGTGCCCCTAGGCGGAGGATTAGCTTATTGAGCTGTGGCGCCGGCCCAGAGTTCTTTTTTTAAAAGATTTATTTATTTGAAAGGCAGAATTACAGAGAGGCAGAGGCAGAAAGCGAGGTCTTCCATCTGCTGGTTCACTCCCCCAATGGAGTGAGCTGGGCCTATCTGAAGCCAGGAGCCTGGAGCTTCTTTTGGTCTCCCACATGGGTGTAGGGGCCCAAAGATTTGGGTCATCTCCTGCTGCTTTCCTAGGCACATTAGCTTGGAGCTGAGTCAGAAGTGGAGCAGCCAGGACTCAAACCGGAGCCCATATGGGATGCTGGCACTGCAGGAAGTGGCTTTACCTGCTATGCCACAGTGCTAGCCTGCAGAGATTTATTTATTCATTTTGAAAGTCAGAGTTACAGAGAGAGCGAAAGGGAGAGAGAGAGAGATCTTCCATTCCCTGATTCAGGCCCAGGTGGCCCAGGAGTCATGAGCTTTATCTGGTTCTTTCATATGGGTGGCAGGGGCCCAAGTGCTTGGGCTATCTTCTGTTGCTTTCCCAGGCCATTAGCAGGGAGCTGAATCAGAGGTGGAGCAGCGGGGACCTGAACAGATGCCCATACGGCTGCCAGAGTCACAGATAGTGCCTTTACCTGATACGAAACAACACCAGTCCCATGATAAATTCTTAAACTAAAAACAGTATCGAGGAGACACAAAATGGCTCAACAGTGTACAGCCACACTAACTTAAGCTGTTCTTGGACATGAAAAGAAAAAGGGAAGGACTCCAGGGATCTGAGTGATGAAAATTTTTGGCAAAAAAGTGAAAGACAACAATGAAGACTCCATGCGACAAGAAAGACACCGCTCAGTGCAGCCAGCTGCCTGCCGTGAGCTGCCATCCTAGCATGTTAAGGTAGGAAGAAATTGCCGCATGCCCTGCTGCTTGCAGTTTTAGCTGAGAGGGAACTCCACAGTCACCTGCTGATTTTCACATCAGCCTGGGGAGCTGACTGGGGTCTGAGCAACTGCCAGGCTTACAGCAGGGAAGCTGCATCCCGCACCCCCCCCCCCCCAATCAGGGAAGTAATGCAGTGCTTCTACCAGCATCACAATCAGAGTCAGGGCAACTGTGGGAATTCTGGGGCATTAGCCCCAGAGCTATGCTCATGCACTCTTTGTAAGCCAGGAGGTTTTGCCTTAGCTTCTAGGGGCTAACACCAGAAGCAGCCCTAAAAATCCACTCTCACCCTGGGAGATCTGGGTAATAATCCCAGTGTACCCTATAAGACCAGGACTGTAACACTTTGTTCTAAATTTTGTGGTGCCAGTGGATCTACCTGGTGGACCTAGGGAAGAACCTATGTGCATTCCACCTCTCTGGGCTCATACCCTCCAGAGTAAAATCTCCTGTATACCTTGCAGTCACTCTATAAGACTGGAACAGGTTTCAGTTCACACCCCCTAGTCCTAGGACTGGGGCTGTTGGTATTGTAAGTCACAGCACCAATTGGACTCTCTTGGAAGGACCTGATGAAGGGTTTATATATATCACATAGTCCTAGATCCACAATAATTGGTGCCACAAGCTGCATCATTACTCAGGCTTATCAGTAGGACAAGGGGGCAGCCACCCTTGTCTTAGCACCAAGAACAAGGCCCTGGCTATCACATTTGCCAAGGTGATTGACATTAACTCTCTATGGATAAAGACACACACCTAAGGAAATATTTATTACTCTCAAAGCCACACTTCTATCCCTATGAACTGCAGCAGACTAGACTACTGTGTCACTTAAAGACACACCTGACACTGATTAAGACAATATAAAAAAGGCCGGCACCGCGGCTCAATAGGCTAATCCTCCGCCTTGCGTCACCGGCACACTGGGTTCTAGTCCCGCTTGGGGTGCCGGATTCTGTCCCGGTTGCCCCTCTTTCAGGCCAGCTCTCTGCTGTGGCCCGGGAGTGCAGTGGAGGATGGCCCAAGTGCTTGGGCCCTGCACCGCATGGGAGACCAGGAGAAGCACCTGGCTCCTGCCTTTGGATCAGCGCAGTGCGCCAGCCACAGCGCGCCGGCCGCGGCGGCCATTGGAGGGTGAACCAATGGCAAAGGGAGACCTTTCTCTCTGTCTCTCTCTCTCACTGTCCACTCAGCCTGTCAAAAAAAAAAAAAAAAAAAAAAAAAAAAAAAAAAAAGGCCGGCGCCGCGGCTCACTAGGGTAATCCTCCGCCTTGCGGCGCCGGCACACCGGGTTCTAGTCCCGGTTGGGGCGCCAGATTCTGTCCCGGTTGCCCCTCTTCCAGGCCAGCTCTCTGCTGTGGCCAGGGAGTGCAGTGGAGGATGGCCCAAGTCCTTGGGTCCTGCACCCCATGGGAGACCAGGGTAAGTACCTGGCTCCTGCCATCGGATCAGCGTGGTGCGCCGGCCGTGGCGGCCATTGGAGGGTGAACCAACGGCAAAAGGAAGACCTTTCTCTCTGTCTCTCTCTCTCACTGTCCACTCTGCCTGTCAAAAAAAAAAAAAAAAAAAAAAAAAAAAAGACAAAATAAATCACTCAGAGACTATGCTCCTGGGCTCACCTAGAACAAAGACAAAGCAACAAGCCAAGTGATACACTGTATTCCAGCTAAACCATAAACTCTTTTCCAATAAAGCCTACTCTATAAATAAAAAGGGACAAGTATACCAGATGGGCAGACATCAATGTAGAGACACAGGAGACATGAAGAAACAAGGTAGCATGACGCTTCCAAAAGAACACAATAATGCTCCATAACTAGATCCTAAACTTAAGGAAATCTATGAAATTACAGCTATAGAAGTCAAAATAATGATTATAAGGAAACTCAATGGAATGCAAGAGAATAGAGATTAAGAAATGAGGAAATCAGTGAGTGACATGCATGAAAATATTACCAAGGAGGTAAAACTCATTAAGAAGAATCAAACAGGCCGGCGCCGCGGCTCACTAGGCTAATCCTCCGCCTAGCGGCGCCGGCACACCGGGTTCTAGTCCCGGTCGGGGCGCCGGATTCTGTCCCGGTTGCCCCTCTTCCAGGCCAGCCCTCTGCTGTGGCCAGGGAGTGCAGTGGAGGATGGCCCAGGTGCTTGGGCCCTGCACCCCATGGGAGACCAGGAAAAGCACCTGGCTCCTGGCTCCTGCCATCGGATCAGCGCGGTGCGCCGGCCGCAGCGCGCCAACCGCGGTGGCCATTGGAGGGTGAACCAACGGCAAAGGAAGACCTTTCTCTCTGTCTCTCTCTCTCACTGTCCACTCTGCCTGTCCAAAAAAAAAAAAAAAAAAAAAAAAAAAAAAAAAAAAAAGAAGAATCAAACAGAAATTTTGGAGATGAAATCTTCAATCAGTGAAATAAAAAATATGATTGAGAGTATTAACAGCAGAATAGACCAAGTGGAGGGAAAATTTCTGACCTCAAGGATAAGAATTTTGAAATAACCCGATCACATAAAAATAAAGAGAAAAGAATTAAAAAGAATGAAGAAAGCCTACATGAAATATGGGATATTAAACAATCAAGTATTTATTTTACAGGTTTTCCTGAAGGAGAAGAAAAGGAAAAGT